AAAAAGTGAGACTTCTACACCTGGTTTCCAAAGCTAAATTCCAATTAAACACCTAATGTAATACAATACAATAATTAATAATAGAAATAGTTTCCATTTGTTGTCTACTATGTACTAAGCACTGTGGTAGACACTTTACATATCTCTTATTTCTCCTAATAATCCTCCTAAGTAGGGATTATTATTCCCACTTCTTGAATTGAGTGAATAAAATGATGAAATTTAAGTAACGAGCCTAGGAGCAAACCACTATTAAATGCTAAACCAATATTAAATTCTAAGGTGAGTGAATATTGATGGTGATAAGGGGACCATGATTTCCAGTTAAACATAACAATTTCAACATGTGCATTTCCTCCCGTTCCATCCCAAAACACTAGTACAATGATAGTAAAGATGTTAAAAAGCTTAAATCTTTAGGAAAAAAGGGAACTAAATGAGAGCAAAGATACTAGCAAATTTGGAAACTGAAAAGCAGATGATTAAATGGCAATGAACTTGAGTAGACCACAAAAAAACTGGAAGATAAGTGCTTGTGGGGATGGGGTGGGGTCCCACCCAGTAAGGCTCAGAAAATGGAGGTATCTGACACATCTGGGGCAGGGAGCATGGGACAAGGAGAACCTGCCAACAGGGGACTTATTTGAGAAATTCCATACTTTTTGATCCCTGATCCAGATAGAGGTTTGGAAGATTTCACTCTGGGAAAAAAACCAACTGGTTCAATAGAACAGACTTATAGGCATTGATCTGGGTGGGGCAGGGGGGCTTGTGTCTCTATGAAATGGCTGGGCCTTGCCTGGTCATCCTAGAACAAAACCTAGCTCTCTGCTCTTATCATCTACTGTGTCCCATGGTAGAAGTAGAAGCAACTACTCCTTATGGGAAAGAACTGGGATCTGACTGGTTACTTACCCAAAAAATTAAAGAATCATAGAGAATTATATATACTAAACTTAGATACTTTATTTTAACCAGTTCATTCACCAAATTTTTATTGGAATGCCAATGCATTTCCTTTGTGGAAGTATCCATGGATTGGAATTGCACTTTGTGTTTCTGTGCAAACCACACCCCTAATGTATCTTTCCTAGTTTGTTTCTTTAAAACAGAATGGAAACTTAAAGACATATTTGAAATAAAATGAATGCAGAAACCTTTAAGATTTAAGAAATTCACTCCACCTCCTCTTTTATGGTGATTTTGTCCACACCTAATTACCACTTTTAAAAATTAATAATATTTTAGGGCACCTGGGTGGTTCAGTTGGTTAAGCATCTAACTCTTGATTTCAGCTCAGGTCATGTTCTCAGGGTCATGAGATCAAACCCTGCATCTACTTGTCCCTATCCCTCTGGCTCTCCCTCTGCTCACCTTCTCTGTCTCTGTCTCTATCTCTCTCAAGTAAGTAAGTAAATAAATAAAATCTTTAAAAAAAAAAAGTTAGTGACCTTTTGGCAAGCCTTTCCAAAGTATTCGACTTTGAATGTATTACAGAAACTCTCTTAGTACTCAGATTTTAATTTACAAGAATATGTAAATTATGGAAATACAGTAATAAGTACACAGGCATAAATTGGTTTGGAAATAACTATGACTGTCAGAAAACATTCTCTACCTCCTTGGCCTAAGTTACATGCCACTCTTGAAATGGCCCTATCATGATATCATGAGCAATAGGAGATAGAGTCCATAGATTAAATGGGCCCATGTAGGCCATGGTGAGAAATTTCAAATTGATTCTACACACAATGAGAAGTAACTCATCTAATGGAGGAACGCAGTATCATTTGTGTTTTTAGAAGATCCTTCTAACAATGGTGTGGAAAACATTTTTTGAAGGAGAAAGAGAGGAAGCAGGGTAACAGGAGCTGTACAACACTAGTAAAAAGATTTGGAGTATATTTTGGAGATAGGGGTGTCAAGATTTGCTGATGGATTGGATATAGAGGGTAGGGAGTTTTGGAATGGCTTCTAGGTGATCAAAACTTAAGGGGATTAGAAGTGGCATTTATGGAAAAGACATAAACCAGCAGGGGATATGTTTGAATGGCAGAGATGAACTGTTCTATGCCAGCCATGTTGAGTTTGAAAGGACATTAACTATCCAAGCAAAGATTGTTAGGTAGGTGGCTGGATAGGAGTTTGAAGTTCAGCAAAGAGGATAGGGCTAAAGAGATAAATTGGTTCTCATATTAGTTCCTTTGACTTCAACCTTAAACTTCTATTCTTTGTTTCATCTACTTTGAGTAGTTTTTCTTGAGTACTCAAGTTAAATAAAGATATTAGCACCTTTCTCTTCTACTTCCCATCTTCTGTCAACTGTGCTTTTCTTGTTAAGGCTAATGAAATAATTCTGTTCTGTAACAACATTTAAAATTTCCATACTGTGTCAAGATAATGCTAAAAGCTGAAAATTATGAAATAGCATTTACAATATAATTATATGCGTTTTATTCATTTAAGGGCCAAATATCGTGCTAGGACTACATTTCTTTCTCACTGGGTCCAAAGCCTGGTGCCACTTGAAAAAGACTGGTTCTAGTATTTCTGTTAAATCCTCTTTTGTAAGTAAAAAAAATTTTCCCTTGGAAACTTTAAAGACATTAACTCCATTGTGTTTTTGTATCGGTGCTGCTTAATTCCATACTGATTCTTGTTTTTTAGATAGTGACATTTTTCTTTCTCTTTTTGGAAACTTATAGAACCTTCTTTTTATAATTGTAGCTTTGCAATTTCATAATGATGTATAGGTTGTATCTTTTATCCCTTCATACTTGGAAGTGCTCAGTAGGCTCCATTAATGCCTCTCTTTTATATTGGGAAACGTTCTTATTATTCCAGAGGCTGTGTAGAGCACTGGTTTTAATTACAGGTAGATTGAGTTCAAATATCAGTTATTTGCTCTGTAACCTTGAGCAAATTATTTAAACTCCATGCTTGCTTTCTTATATGAAAAATGAGAGTATTAATAACATTACCATACTAATATATTCCTTAGAGTTGGTATGAGAATTGAATAAGTAAATATTTAGGAAGTTCCATAAAGTGCCCAGCAAATAGTATGTGCTCAATAAATGTTTTGTTGATAACTATCTGCACTTTCAATTTTATTCTTTGCTCTTCTAGAGCTTCAGAAAAGTTGGACCTCCCAGATGGATTCTCCACTTTGCTTTTATTCTCTTACACTTTTTAGGTTTTTTTTTTTTTTTTGTCGTTGTTGCTTTATATTCCGTGATGTTTCCTTAACTTTAACCGCCATACATTAAAAAAGATAATTTGGCATAATTGTAATCTTTGGCTGTCCATTCATAAACTAAGAATAGGACAAGAGATCAACTTGTATGACAAAAAAAGTAACTGGTGTGGTAGTTGACTATCTGGCCGGGACATTGGGCTCAACTAGTTTTAATGTTGGCATAGAGTAGTGTTCCTGACTGGGGTGGGTTTTTTGTTTTTGTTGTTTTAAGATAATATTTATTTATGAGAGACACAGAAAGAGAGGCAGAGACACAGGCAGAGGTAGGAGAAGCAGGCTCCATGCAGGGAGCCCGGTGTGGGACTCGATTCCGGGAATCTGGGATCAGGCCCTGAGCCAAAGGTAGACGCCCAAGCGCTGAGCCACTCAGGCGTCCCTGGGGTGGTTTTTAAAAGACAGACTTTCAGGTTGCCCTTTGGATTCTCCCCTTGGATTCATTCATGCCTTCTGCTTTGCCTGCTGGCTGAGTCTCCAGCTACTTTGGGGTTTTGTCAGGCAGACTGGCTCTTTGCTGCTTTTCCCTCTGTCTTTTCTAGGCTCTTGCTTCTTTGCTTGCTAATCCATCAACAAGTTTTCATTCCTTTCCACATTACAGGAAATTCTTCTTTCCACTCTCTTCATCTTTATGGGTTGATGGTTTTACTATCACTTAATAGAGTCTTGGGAGGAGGGGCATTTAGATGTCTGTGTTCAGTCTACCATCCGGAATCGGAAGTGCAAACATCATTACCTTTCTGAAGAAGAGACCATGTTACAGTTTATCTAACCATCCTCTCCATTAACTCCTGCCCTTGAGGTGGAAATCATGCTGACTATGACCATTTTCTAATGTTCTGATCTTCAATCTACCCCCCTACCCTTGTATCCTTAACTAGACTGGCCAGATCACAGAGGCCTGAAGGTTCAAATTAAGTAAGGGACTGTTGAATGATAAAAGTAACCCTTTGTTTACTTGTGTACCATTCAGTGGACATACTGTCATGTTCAGAAAATTATGTGAAGTTTAGCTTATGAACTTTTACATGGAGTGATGACCAGGCTACGTACTCGGTAAATACATTTTTGTTTTGACTTGATTGTGCACTTCTTTAAGACTTAACTAAATAGATATAATAATGTTTTAATAGTCCATGTAACATTGGTTTGTGGGATACCAGTTATGTGAAATACTCTCCTAGAAAAAGGATGAGGTGGTTAATAAGTGGGGAAAACATAATATTCTTTATTCCTCGTCTTGGAATGCATTATGCTTGTGCTTACAGTAAGAGTTTTAAGAGTTCTGTGGCTTAAATCTGTTTAACTTTATAAATTCAGTTTTTACAAATCTCATTTGACCACTTCCCCTTTTTCTGAGCAGCATCTATAAACATAAGGAACTAATGTCCCTCAGAGTACACTTAGAAAAATGCTGCCATATAGTATTGCCTACAATTGTAGTTACACTTTTTAAAATTTGGTGGCAGTAATGAGCAGAATGCTACTAGGTTGTATGACTTGGAGGCTGTTGTTATCAATGATCAAGCCAATTTGTATTATGTTGCAGTAAATACATTTGGAAATAAGCTGTCCACCAAGAAGGGATAAAGAACAAACTTGTCAAGGGCTGCATTTGCTGTATGTATATTTTCAACTCCTATAGAGAGGTAATTTTCTCAGGAGGTACCAGTATATCTAATCCATCTTAATTTGATAGCAGTAACCTGAGAAAATGCGAAGGAGGTTTTATCACAGCTAACCTTACCTATTCCACAAGAAGCCTTTTGCAGCTTGCTGTGTTTGACTGGCAAAACCAATGGACATGTTGGTTTTCGAAAGTCACTCCTCTGGGTGCTCGTAGTGTCGTAAGATGGTTGGAAGGGATGTTCCAGTCCTTTACCATGTGACCACCAGTCACCCTTTATGGGGAAAAAATTGGAAACACAAAATTGGATACTGTAGGGCATTTTCATGAGCTGCTTGATGACTGTAAATGTTCAGTAAGTTGATTCAATAAGTTATTGGATATTCTAGTATAAAATGGAATTCTGAAATCTAGGAATAGTTTTACAAAGACTGAATTTTTAAAAGGTACTTAAAAGTGAATTATCACATATTTTTTTAGCTAAAACATAGCTTCTAAATTCTTAAACTACAGATGGAGTGGTAAAAATCAACCAAGTACTTATAGTTCTATGTTTTGTACTACCATTGTATTTATATATATGTATACACATGTGTGTGTATATATATATATGATTTAATCTAAAAAATCAGGTTCTATACTTTCAGGTAAATATAAATAATGTATTATCATCTAAGATGGTGGTTTTCATAGTTTTCAGTCCATGATCCACACCACGAAATATTTTGTCATGCAAGAAGACACAATGTATACACATACATAAAATGAAAAGTTTCACAAGACAATGTTTATTCTTACTCCATTAAGTGCACTTGACTATTTTTCTATTTTATCCTTTATCTCTTCTATTCCATTTTACAATGCTAGTTGCAACCCACATTGCTTTATAACCCACTAGTGCCTCAGTTTGAAAAACTTTGTTTTGGAAAGATATCTCCAATGTTACAGAATTTTGAGTAGAGAAACCTGACTTAAGGACCCAGGCAAGGGAGAATTGATATACTCTCCATTAGCACATATTAGAATCTGATCTCTCAGAAGTTGTGAAAACAGCGAGGGAAACTTACTCAATTCTAAGTAAGCATTTTTTTAAAAATCTGGATCATTAGGTAGACCTAAGACAACCTTGGGAAGGGGGAACTGTGACACCTAGAAGTTCCTGGATATTATTAAGACAATGAAGGTAACTTTGGGTATAATCTAACATCTACTTTGGACTTTGAGGAGGGAAATCAGGCTTCTAAAAATCAACCATGATATTGTAGCCAGAAACTTGAAAAATATGATTCAAGGGTGATGAAGACTAGATTACATAAGTAAAACCCTGACAGTGCAATTGAAGCTATAGGGGTAAGAAAAGTAAGAAGGCATTTGAAGACATCTATCTGACTCCACAGGGAGTCAGCTCCCAAAGTGGCTTACCTTCTAAAAAGACAGGCATGTATATAAAAGAAGTGTACAATGTCAAATTAAAAAAATAATTTCATGGAGTCACCTTGTCAGATTGTCAAGAAGCTTAGAAGAAATTCATGAAATATGCCAAAGGCAGCAAAAATAGGGTTTTCTGGGAGAAAAAATTCTGTTATATCAAGAAATCACAGAAAGGCTAAAAATTTGGAGAAGAGTTACACAATTCAGAGCTGAAAGAGCTACTCAACTTTAGGTTCTTCGTTAAGGGAAATTATCTTCAAACTGAACAAAGATAGGATGAACATGAACCTAAGAGGGAACTAACTGAGCCCTGACTGATTGAGGAGAGAGTTAGACCTCACTTGTCAACTTGAAATGAGTGCCAGTCTTCAGGCCAATGGCAAATTGAAACCTGGGGTACTAAATACATGTGCAGCGATCGAAGAAATTTAGGAACTAGGGAATTTTGGAGAATAGGAGAGATGGGCTAATACCTCATTTTTTCAGAATGAGCTGAAAGGTGAATTACAAAAACTAAGACTACTTGATGTCGATCCTGGGAATTCTAGAACAGATTACTAAACAGATGGTGTCTTCTCACTATCTGGCTGAAAATAGTCACATCTAACTGTTGTCAGAATGCCTGCTTCTTGCAGGCCTCCTCCACTGCACGGTTATGAGAGTTCTTATTATGCCCCAAGGTCTCAGATTTACAGGCCTTTTCTCACTTACCCTCACCACGAATCTGCAAGTAGATAGATACACCCACTTCACAGATGAGAAAACTGCTGGGAAATTAACTGTCCCAGTCAGAGCCCTGCCCCCATCTGTGCAAGCCTCATTCCGTGCTACATGGCTTTAGCAAATCTGCTGTAGAATGAAAGCCAGATAAGCACAAACCTACTTAATTTCAGAAGTAACAATGAAGAGATTTTAGGTATCATGAGAAAGATCTTTGATGAAAAGGTTTTAAGGAGTACACTGTGTATTATCTTCTCTTGTTGATCAGAAAACTTATTTTGCCAACACCCAAGTTACTGGGTAAGTGACTCTGGGATGAGCAAACTGCTAGGAAATGCCCGGCAGCATTCAATTATTTCTTGAACAAAAGTTATCTGAAAAGCAGAGGTATCAGTTCATCTCTCAAGATTTCTTATGAGAGAACCCTGGGTGGCTCCGCGGTTTGGCGCCTGCCTTGGGCTCAGGGCCTGATCCGGGAGTGCCGGGATCGAGTCCCGCATGGGGCTCCCTGCATGGAGCCTTCTTCTCCCTCTGCCTGTGTCTCTACCTCTCTCTCTTTCTCTCTGTGTCTCTCATGAATAAATAAAATCTTAAAAAAAAAAAAGGTTTCTTGTGGATTTAGAATTTTACCAAAATGGTCTCTTGAGTTTCACAAAACATAAAGGAAATAATGAACAATGTTTCCTCACGTGTGACTGATAACTTTTAAGTCCTCAGAGTTAGTGGAAGTATTCTGATTAGTGTTGTAAATTGGATGAAGCTTCGCTTGGGCGGAATGAAATCCCACAGTTCAAAAAATGCTGTTTTTATGTGTTCTATTTCTGGATAGTCTGCCCTTTGCCTGAAGAGTCTGGTTTGTTCCTGGAAGAGTGAGAATGTATATGGGTCTGTGCACATGTGCGTGCCATTTTGGTCCAAGCATGTGCTCATAAAAGATTATAAGACTAAAGAGATAGGTGGAAACTTGTTTTTCCTTCACCTCACGCTGAAGGGAAAATCGAAGAAAAATTTATTGTGCTGTCCACCATCACTTGAAGTGGATTGTGAGGGGTTGACATGAGTTATGTATGATGAAATAAGCCAAACAGGGAAAAGTTGTACTGTGACTGCTTTGTCTAGGCTTCAGGGATCAGCCTACCTCGTACAGATTGTGGAAGGGTTTTTGCCTGAACAGATAGTTGCTCTCAGTTCAAAACTTTGGACCCAGAGAAAGCAGGAGATCTTCCCTTCTAGCCCAAGGCTAGTTTTCTTTCCTGCTTCAGGGTAACAGTCATTGGAGCTCCATAGTATGGACACATCTGGAGATTCCTGAAGAAGAGGCTCCCATTACCCCCCACCCCTGGAAGACCTCATGGCCATTATACTGTGAACCCCTTAGCTGCATTTGGAAACCACTGTGAGACCGTCTTTGTGATACTTCTGCTATCTCTAAGCCTTTGGAAATGCATTAGGAGACATTCATTAGTTTTCATTCTTTGGGACATTAGGGAAAGTCCTGGGAGAGGTAGTAAAAGCACTTGGGGCATTCTGGAGAAGACAGTTAAGAGAATGCAAGAGGTGGTAGGTAGAAGTCCACAGCAGCCTGGCAAAGATGGCTGCTGCTGGCCCTGGTCATCTGTGGGACACAAAATCATACTTCAGGGATCCCTAGGGAAATATGGACTTTCAACACCTTACAGAGAATCACGGTTTAGTAGAGCTCAATGGCTTTAAACATTGAAGTGTTATGGGAAACACTAGAGTTACATTGTATCTATGCTCATCTCTACTTTGCTAAGGATACCAGGAATGCTGAAAATACCTCTTTTTAAGCAACTCATAATGTTCCTGATAACAGTTATTCCTAAATTGTGCTCTGTGGAATGCTAGTCCTGTGGCATATTAAATAAGGTGTTATATAAAAGAGGTTTCCAAAGTTAAATAAATTTGGAAAATATTGAGATAAGTTAAATAAGTTTATCACAGGATTTCTTAGCACCTTTACATACAAATGTGATTTGTGAAATTTTAAGATCTAAATATATAGCTTTTCCAAAATGTATCTGACTTTGGAATGTTATTTTATTGAGCACATAGGCAGGGGCAATGCTCTGAAACATACACTTTGGAACATAATGATCTAGTATAATCTCTTTTAAAATACCAATATTTAGGGATCCCTGGGTGGCGCAGCGGTTTGGCGCCTGTCTTTGGCCCGGGGCGCGATCCTGGAGACCCGGGATCGAATCCCACGTCGGGCTCCCGGTGCATGGAGCCTGCTTCTCCCTCTGCCTGTGTCTCTGCCTCTCTCTCTCTCTCTCTGTGACTATCATAAGTAAATTAAAAAAAAATTTTAAAAAAATACCAATATTTAAACACACAGGACCCCCAAACTGTTGTGACTGGAAGTGACTGAGCTACAGCTCCTTTTTACTTTTTCTGGCACCCCCAATTTTATGGCTCTAGGTAGAACCGTGTAAGTGATTGTCTCATTTAAACACCTTGTAAATAAGAAAAATCAACCAATCTGGTGTTAGGTTCTTAAGATATTATCTTAGCAAAATACATAAGAGAGCAAATATGTTATTTAAATATTAGGTAACTTTATTTTCTTCACTCATGCATTAAAGCTAGCACTATTATACAGTTAATTTTTCAAAACAACCAACCTAAACCTTTAAGAAGAAACTTGTCATCTTAAATAAAGGAACAAACGGTACAGATATGCGAAATGAGTATTCTTTATTAATCCTCGGGTACATGGAAATGAGTACACTTTTTGTTTTTTAAATATGAACAGTACCTTCACTCCATGCCCAAACAGATACACTCTTAACTCTGATGCATCTTCAGTCTTTCTTTGTACCTCCTCACTCCTATCTACCAGTAGCCTCTCTTCCCTATTCTCTTACTTCATCTCAAACTCTTAAAGGTCTCTGACTCAGTTAGCTTTTAGCACCAATAAACAAGGATCCTACTGCTACTATGTCGCCCCACCTCAACAGCAGCTCCTAACATTTTCTCAAGACATCTATAAACTAGGAATACGAGAAAATTAGTTGATTAGTTTTTGAGACTTTTTTTTACATTTTGCACCTCCATTCTCAAACCCACTTCTTTTCCTTAGTATCTCCAAGATAAGGA